ATTTTGAAATATCAGCCCAGTCGTTCGCGTAGTTGAAAAGCTTATTTAGAATAATCTAAGATCCAAACTTCATTTTAATTTAGACACAAGTAATTTTGCATGGTTTTAACATATACTACATATTCCAGGAACACGGAGGGATATTGAGGGTGGATTGTAACTCGCTTTGCTCATTCTGGGAAACCCCACCATCCATAACGATGCAGCTAGAAAATCTGAACTCCTGGCGCCCACAGCTGAAGGGTCTGCCTCCTGCCCGGGGTGTTGGTGGGGATTCCCTGAGGGGCCGACCTTGACCTTCCATGTGTCTCCACGTGTACCCATGCCTGTGTGTTTACATATTGAAACAATTCATTACCAATTCTTCTTCCTTTATTTCTCTTTTATGTTACAATTAAGGCAATATATTGATTTTTTAAACTTGTGTGTATGAGTCATTGTGTCATTATATTGATTTTAAAAATTATATTTTTATAATATATATTTAATATATTTATTTAATATATTTATTTAATATATTTATATAAACTATTTTAATATAATATAGGTTATATTATCTGAGAATTTTATTTCAGGATAGTAAGGGGAGCATTATAAACATTTGTTATAGAAAGGGGACATTTGAGTCTGACATTTATTTTAGAAGGGGTGGCCTTTGGATCTGACCCGAGCTGAAAACCACCGATTTATATCATTACACTTAACGTAGCCTCACGCTGGGCACACTTGTATCATGGTTTATTTAACCCATCTACCACTGATGGATAGTGAGGTGTGTTGGTTCATATAAGCAGCACTCTGATAAACAGACGTATTTACAAAGATATGTCTGGGCGTTCACTGAATTATTTCCTTAGGGGGAAAAATCATATGAGTGGAACTGCTGAATGAAAGGAATGCACATTTTCCATTTCAACGTAGTCCTTCCAAATTATTCCACTAAGAGAGCATGAGACACTTGTGTGTGGGACTCTGCGCGCTGCACTGGGGGCGGGGCCAGATCCTGCACCAGCAGCGGCTGTGTCCTGGGAGCCGCGCGTCTGCCCAGAAGTGGCACCAGGGCCTCCGCTGGAGCCGCGCCACCGTGCAAAGTGGGTGTCCTTCCTGAGGTGGTGGCCCCTCTGCAGTTAGCAAGCATCCTTTAATAAATCCCCTTCCACCCTAAACTGGCCTGAGTGGATTCTCTGGTATGCAACAATTATTCCTGGCTGATCAGAAACCCAACTCAATTTCAAGCTCATTTTAGTGGCGTTTTTCCCTTGGACCTTGTTATGTGTTGAACTGAATCCTCTAAAAATTCATATGTTGAAGCCTTAACCCCCAAGACCTCAGAATGTGACCTTATTTGGAAATAAGGTCATTGCAGATATAATTAGTCATACTGGATTAGGGTGGGTGCCACCTCCTCTGATATGACCAGTACCCTGATAAAAGGGAGAGATTTGCGCACACACACACACACACACACACACACAAGAACAGCGTGTGCAGATGGAGGCGGGGGCTGAGGTGATGCTCCTACAACACAAGGGACATCAAGGATGCGCAGCAAACCCCCAGGGCCTGGGGGAGGGGCCCGGAGCAGCTTCCCCCTCCCAGCTCAGAAGGAAGCAACCCTGCCAGCACCTTGATTTTGGACTCCCAACCTCCAGAGCTGTGAGACGGTCAAGTTCTGTCGTTTAAGCCCCCAGTCTAGGGTACTTTGTTTCTGTAGCCCGAGAAAATGAATATAGACATCTAAGCTTCAATGACTGAATTTGCCATCTCCTAATGCCACTGCTCAGCAGAACTGTTGCATGACAAAGCCTGAGGCCATCTCAGGAGTCATCTGTCCCGCCCCACACCCCCTGCTCTGACGCACAAAGAATTAAAACCCAAAGAGGCCGCAGGACTCGTCCAAAATCAGACAGCTGGCTGGCAGCAGGGCCAGACTTAGAAGCCCTGCCTTTTACGTTCCGCCTGACATTCTTCCTACCGAGATGCGAACTGCAAGGACAGCAAAGCTCTGGAGGCGGCTCAGGACAGAATCCACCCTGCAAAGCTCAGAGCTACCCTGTCGTTGTTTCCCATCCGAATCGCCCCGGAAGTCTCTGAAAGTAGAGTGATGGCCTCTCGCCAGCATTTCCGGGAGCGGGGTCTGAGAATGCGTGTGTTTTAGGAGCCCAGCCGCCAGACGAGCATTTGCACACTCCCTACCCCACGTCGGCGAGCGGGAGGGGTAGGGCCTGGGCTGCGGGGACAGACCCCGGCTGAGGGCTGCCAGCTGTGTGACCTCGGGCACATCACTGAATTCTCCAGGGCTAAGCTTCCTCGTCTGTGCAGGGAAAGTCACGTCCTTCACGGCCTCGTTAGGCTGCCTGGAGTTCAAAGAGAAAATTCACATTCGGCTCGTACCAGGGTGCCCGGCACATAGTAAACACTCATTAGGATTCAGTGATTATTATATCGTCATTCCTACAGAAGCGAGCATGACCTTGACAATCCCTGATGTCAGCGGCCAGGCCTGTCCTGTTATTTTTTAACCCCTCTAATGAGGTCATAGGCTCACATGGCTCTCTCCACCTGGATATCTTTCTGCACCTTTCAGATTCCTCCTCACTCTTTTTTTTGTTTTTAAATTTATTTTTGGCTGCGTTGGGTCTTTGTTGCGGTGCACGGGCTTCTCACTGCGGTGGCTTCTCTTGTTGCGGAGCACAGGCTCTAGGTGCGCGGGCTTCAGCAGTTGTGGCGCACAGGCTTAGTTGCTCCGCGGCACATGGGATCTTTCCAGACCAGGGCTCCAACCCGTGTCCCCTGCATTGGCAGGCGGATCCTTAACCACTGCGCCACCAGGGAAGTCCCATCCTCACTCTTTAAGGTCAAGTGCCACCTCCTCCTGACACCTGCCTTGGTTTTAGACTCCCAGCCTCCAGAGCTGTGAGAAGGTACATTTCTGTCACTTAAGCCCCCTGTCTGTGGAATTTTGTCTCGGTCGCCCTAGAGTCCAGTCCCGGTCCCCTTCCTGTGTGCCCAGCCCCGTCTGAGCCTCCGGAGGCCTGGTCACGGCCTTATTCACGACGGTGGTGGCTGCTCTGTGTCTGTCTGGCCCCATGCAGAGCACCGTGTCTGGTGCAGAGGAGATGCTCCGGGAGCCTTCCCTGAATGGGATGAAGTATGAATGCTCATTCTGGTCCCAGCAAAGCCCTACTGGGCTTCTCTGGGGGCCATGAGTCCGGTCCAGGTGATGCATCAACGCACCCCTTACAGGAGAACAAGGGCTGACCGGAGGAAACGCCCAGGTCAAGGGTGGCATCGGCCTTGCAGGTAAGTACCAGGAACAGTCAAAGGACTCCAGTCACGGTTTCTGAATCCGCAGCAGCTGCCCCAGGCATCCCGCTGTGACCCTCCGGGAACCGCACACAGCGCCTGACACTTGGAGCCCTGATTCCCCAAAGGAAAGGATGGTGGTTACGGGGTAAAACCTCACTTGTGTGCGGCTGTATTAATCCCAGTGCCACTTGCGCCCACGTCTCTTATCACGGATGTTCAGGGTATCAGGTCAGATGAGATGAAGGAGGGAGAGAGAGAGAGATGGATGGTGTGCTGCTGAGTTATCTTTCTCTTAAATAATAGCTCCTCTGTTTCACCTCTGACATCCTGACCGGAAAGGACATTTCTCTCTCTCTCCTCTTAATGAAATGTGGCTGCACGGGTTTGAAGGCGGCCATGTCACTCCTGTCACCTGTGAACAAGAACAGAGGCAGCTCTCGGGGTCGAAGTCATGATGACACGGATGATGAAAACCCACCGAAAATCTCTGAGCTTCTATTTACCGTAATTTTCGGCTTCTCTCCCGGCTGCCCCGGCCTCCCTAGCCCTGCAGAGGATTTGGCAAATGCTTCGGAACTTGGTGGCCTGGACTTTTCCTGCCGTTGTGCTGTGAACTAGTGGTGACGAGCGAGACAGAGGTTTTCCATTTCTTCCTGGAGCTCCTCTTCCTCGTGAAACCCGGACGCTACGCTTCGCTTCTTCCTGCCTTTCTTGTCACTCTAGATGGCTCTCATTAATCACTGCCTGTCCCTCCTCTGGGGCGTCTCTGAAACGTATTTCTTTTTCTCCCACCTTGGTCCCCACTTTAGCCTAGAATCTCATGCCTGGATCACTGTAACCTCCTTTCTGCTCCCAAGCTTCTCACATAAACCTCAGCCATGAATCTAAACTCAGACACCAACAAAGTGTTTATCCTGACATTCAACTCCCTCCCCATCCTGGCCCTTCTGGGCCTCGTCTAATATTCCTTCCTCCCTCCCTCCCTCTCTCCCTCCCTCCCTCCATCCATCCATCTCATTCATTTATCTATCTATCTATCTATCCATCTATCTATCATCTATCCATCTCCCTATCTGTCATCTATCTATTACCTATCTGTCATCTATCTATCTATCTATCTATCATCACCCTCTATTCTCATACATAGGTCTTTACCTGAATCAGGACCATGTTCCCTCTGGCCTCAGAACACTTCATTCCTGAACACATGCTGTTTTTTCTAAGTCTTACAAGATGCTTCTCTAATAAATCGGAACTCTATGTCAATACATTTGGGGACTGCACACTTCAGCCCCTCTTGGGGTTCACAGTGCACCTTTACACTTTAAAAGCCCTTAGAAGTCCTATAGCCAAATACGTGCTATTCTCTCTACCTAGAACATTCCCCCCAAGCCCCTCCCCCACTGACTAATTAAATCTTTACTCACCTTTTAGGCCCTGCTTAAATGTCGCTTTCTCAAGGAAGCCTTCCTTCACCCCTCCTCCCAAACTGTGTGCCGCCCGTCATAGCTTCCAAGCATCTTCTGTCCCTCCGGCAGCCCAGTCATCCCACTATAACCAGCATAATGTCCGTACTTCCGGCTGGAACGCAAGTTCCACTAAGGCGGGGCCACCATGCTTGCTCGGCGTCTCCCCAACACGGCACAGCGCTGACGCCAGTGGCTCATATCTCATTTACTGACCCACTAAGGAAAAAAAAAAACTTTGGGAAACGTTACACCAAACAATACTCTGGACTGGACGTGGGAACTTTCCCCCTTGTTATCCGACAGGCTTCGCTGCAGTGGCTACACATTGGGAGGACGTTCCCCTTTCCCCTTGCCTGAGATGCTTCACCTCTTTGACAGGGAACAGATCCCACCCATTGAGATCAGTTAGGACTCTTTTTGTTGCAAGTCACAGAAAATCCAGTTAAAGCTAGTCTGTATAATAAAGGGCAGTAAAACATCAAGGCCTGTGACTAGCAAGGGATTGTGCAACAAATCAAACGCTGTCGCCCGTGGCCTGGTGTCCCCCTGGCTCTGTCCGGCTCCCCGATTTGCCTTCCATGGTGAGGCTTCCACCCAGCGCCCACACCCATGCTCTCAGCCCCGGGCTCCCCCTTTGACGTAGAAGCAGCCTCATTCCACACTGAGCGTCTGCTGGCGTCCTCCAAGGAAAAGGCAGGAAGCTTTTCTTTCCATGAAGTCCCAGGCATGCATGTGTGGCCTCCTTGGCTCTGAACCAACTGTGGTTTAATCCAATCCCAGCCCAACTGGCCTGAAGCATCGATGCCAGGCAGACGAGAATGGGAGGGGCGAGGTCTGTCAAAGGAACTCTGTTCTGTTTGGAAGAGGAAGTGACAGCAGGGCGGTCACCATCTTTCAAGGCTGGTTCAAGCCTGAACTCTAAGAAAACTCTGGACAAGTGTGAAGTCTCCCCTCTGGGACCTTCCACAGGGTGCGTGTGGTCTGTAGCACAAACTTTGGTCCTTTATACATGGTGTGAGATTGTCCTCTAAGTGACTCAGCTCTGTGAATGACAATTTACCCAAAAACGCAGTGGGTTATTACAATCAACTTACCCTGCTCCTGGATTTTCTGGGCCAATAAATCGGGAGGGGCACAGCGGGAGGGTTTATCTCTGTTTCTTGAGGTCAGAGGCCTCAGCCAGGAGGATTCAAAGGCTGGGAGTGACTGAATAGGCTGGGGGCAGGAATTGCATGACAATGTCGTCACTCCTAAGTCTGGCAGCTGACGCTAGCGTTCAGCTGGAACCTCAGCTGGGGCAGGAGGCCACAGCCACCCTTCATGTGATCTGGCCTTCCTCATAGCATGGCAGCCTCAGGCTTCTTACGTGAGGGCCCAGGGTTCCCAAGACAAGCATCCCTAGAAAACCAAGGGGAACCTTGCCTCTCATGACTTAGCCTCCACAGTCACATAGTATCCCTACCACAGTGGTTGCAAGCCCGTGCAGTTTCAAGAATAAGAAACACAGGGCCTACCTCTCACTGGGAGGAGTGCCAATCATGCTGCAAAAAGAGTGTGGGCTGGGAGGCATCCTTGCAGCCGTCTATGGAGAACACAGTATGCCAGAGCCCATTACATATTTTGAGGCTCTTAAGGGCTGGGACTCTTTATAAATACTGCTTGAACCAGCCATTGAATCTACGAACGGGAATAATTTGCCAATTATATGTTAGTTTAATCTGTAACAAAATCAAATAAGCCTTTCTTAGGTTTTCTGTTTAAAATGTTTAAAAGGTCCTGTTTTGTTAGAAATACGTGAAAGAGAACAGGTTGCATGCAAGATTAAAACAGAGAGGAAGGGGGCTTCCCTGGTGGCGCAGTGGTTGAGAGTCGGCCTGCCGATGCAGGGGACACGGGTTCATGCCCCGGTCTGGGAGGATCCCGCATGCCGCGGAGCGGCTGGGCCCGTGAGCCATGGCCGCTGAGCCTGCGCGTCCGGAGCCTGTGCTCCGCGGTGGGAGAGGCCACAGCAGTGAGAGGCCCACGAACGGCAAAAAAAAAAAAAAAAAGAACGTGTTCTCAAATCCTTGACTCAGGATCTGCGTCCCCAAGAAGCCACACTAGGACAGAGTGCTTGTTGAATGAATGAGTCTCTGCCCCAGTCCCCGCCACCTACTCACACATCCCCACCAGTGCAGGTAAACTGACTGCCAGCAGCCTCTCATGTCCTGAGCCAGGGAGAGCAAATACCCCACAGGGAATTTCAGACCTTCACTTCTATCTCTACTGACATTTGTAATCGAGACACACACACAGGAACATTATCTTACCTAAAAGTGCCATGTTGAGACAACGGCGCCGAAAGAGATGGTTAAGTCAGTAAACAACATGGCCCCTGCAGATGAAATCAGCTCCACCGGTGGAGGCGTGGGCTAGCGAGGTCAATAGGCAGACAGATCATACCACTGGCTTTCCATTTGCTTGGCCCTTGGCTGGCATCACACCATCTTCCTCCCCTCCTGCTGCAGAAACAGAGACGCAGAACCACTCTGGGTGTGTCGCCCAGCAGTGGAGGGGAAGCAGAAGTTGGAGTCAGGTCTCCTTTCTCTCCTCTACAAGCTGTTATCGTAACTTGGATCACATATGGCTCCGGGGTCAGCCTTTTATTTCCCCACCACGCTTCCCCGACAATTCTCTATTTTTCTTCCTTCCAGAGCATTAATAGGTGTTTGCCGGGCATGGGAAGGATGCAGCCCAGCTCTACGGGGAATGAACACTAGAGCCGCTGGAAGAGTATGAGGCTGAATCCTGCAAGCGGCCTTCTGGGGTCAGAAAATTAGCAGTCCAGGATTTGATGCTCTCCTCAGGTCAAACCCAGCTCCATCTCTGAGAGGGGAGGGGGACACAGAAGGGAGAAGTGGGCCCTGGGAAAAAAGACACTTGTACTTCCCTCCCCCCAAAAGAAATAATCTTTAAATTAATTTAAACAAATGTAGATGGGGTAAAGAAATCTTAGGAAACCTAAGGATTCCAAGTATTGAAAAAGAGGGAGCTGTTTCACCATATTTAAAGTGTGTGTGTGCGTGCACGTGCACGTGGGCATGTGCGTGGCGGTGGGGAGATAGTTCCTCTTCCCCTCTGAGCTCCGCTGGCTGGTCTAAGAATTAAACTGACATGAGACAGATTAACAGGAAAAAATCAAAAATAGTTTAATAACACGTAACATGGGAGAAACCCAGGAAAACTGAGTAACTCGCCCAAATGGCCGAAGCCCTCACCTTAAATACCATTTTCGGCTAAAGACAAAAGAAGGTGCTGGGGGTAGTGATTTGAGACCTCAAAGGGTAGGAAGGCAGTTGACATGGAGACGGAAAAGCAAAGGCCTGGTAAGCAAATGTCTGCTGGGCAAGCAGAGACAATGGGACACAGAGAGGAGTTTTAACAGACAGACTTTGCACATCTAGTTCATACTATACTGATCTATGGTGATGGCTCCCTCCTGGAACAGGTCCTCTGTCCGCACACTTTAGGCAGTTAAAGAGGTCAAAGGTTCTTCCTGAATCTTTGGGCTTTAAAAATAATAAGCCTAAATTAATCCTCGTGCCAAAGAGACACATTTGGGGGTGGCAAACTTTGCTCCCCTACTGTGTTTCAATACTGCTTAAATCTGTCTGCTCTAACACTGACTGACATGTCTCCCTGCTTCCAATGGCCTCCTCTCAAATCCAATCACCTACCAATCATATTACTCCAAATCCTACCATTCAACTCTCCTACCTAAAACCACTGGCTCCCAGTTGCCTCTAGGGGGCGTGCTGAAGTGCCTGCAGAGCCCCGGCACTTTCCTGGGAGGCATAAGGGAGTGGTGGGGACTGAGGCAAACAGAGAGCCTGCGCCTGGTTTAAAGCCGGCAGCAGTCACCTGGCACCAGCCCCCTGCAGGATCACGAATCCAGTGATGCTACATCTTCCCAGTCTTCCAAGAGATGCTAGAAAGGTACTAACTTTTAAAACTTTTTATGAATTAAACAAACCAAGTTCCTAAGATTAAAAACTAATAATAATAAAAATCAACTCATGGCCACCAGCTTGTAAGCTCCAGCCTACAGGATAAAGCTTAAACTCGTCAGCACGGCATCCAATGCCTTTCATGGTCTTGTCCATTCTTGTTTCTGTCCCAGTCAATCCCTTTGTCCCCAAAGGCACACACCACGCATGGCTGCTCAAGTTAATACATAGAGTCCAAAGAGGAGGGGACAGACATACCTTGAAGTGGAGCCCACAGAGCAAGCTCACCGTTTCTGCTGAGATTGCTATTTAAGGTGGCTCTGAAGGAGATGATAGGGCACCAAACCCCCCTCGGGCTCCTTGGCTCACACCCCCTCCAGGTCCCCTCTGCAGCTTTAAAGACCCTGTTTCCTCTCAACGGGACGCTCTGCTATGTGCTTATCCACCCCGCAAACTTAAACTCGCCTTAGGCCCCCCTGAAGACGCTCCAGAAAGAATCCCTCCCTTTCACTTCTGTACCCTGCACGCATCTCACTAAAACACGTGTCACAGTGTCGTGCATTCGGCGCTTCTCGTGAACCTCTCCGAGTCGGGCTGTCATGTGGTACCCATGTCCTCAGGGCCTGGCCCACAAAGCCCTCCTGCTACTTCTCCATTCCGACCTCTCGAATCACGTATGCCACTTGCGCGAACACCCAGACACCCAACGGCTGCGTGTTGAAACGAAACCACAAGGTGATCTGAGAATCCACGTGGCCGGGCTCCCGGCTCGCAACGTCCTCGTCCCCGCCACCTGCCCGCCCCGCTTCCTAACCCAGGTTCCCACTCCTCCGCAGGGAGGTTTGCGAGGCGCGCACCCGCCGCGGGGGCGCAGGTGTCGGGCGGAGCGCAGGGACGCACTGCCGCGTCCGCCGCCTTGGAAAGAGGTCCGCCTTGTCCGGGCGCCTGGACCCGCCGGGAAGCGGCGCCAGCAGTGGAGGGGCGGGGCCTGCGCCGTGAAGGGTCCCGGGGGAGGCGGGGCTCGGAGCTGCGGCCGGGATTGCTGCGGAGGAGGAGCCTTGGGGAAGGCCTTGCTCAGGGGCGGAGGAAACAAGCTTCTGTTTTCGGCCCAAGCCAAGCGGAGTCCCAGGAAGGACGGGCGTAGCCCGGGGGTCTTTCCTGGAATCACAGGCCTGGGGGCTTTTCCACTGGGACGGCAAGAAGTATTTGGAAAATGTGCTTTTAACTAGAAAAGGGATCTTGTCACTTTGATATTTTAAAACCCTGGGGGAAGTGTCTTCTTTGTACCAGGGACTTGGGGGGGGGCATTATTTTATGTTTAGTTTGCATTAACGTACTTTTATTTGCATTACTTCCGTTAATACTCATAACGCCTCTGGGGGTAGGCACCGTTTTCAACTATCAGGAACTCATGCTTCCAGGTGCCCAGCCGTTGTTGATGAGATGCCCCCAACACGCGCGCACGCGCACACACACGCACGCACGCACACACGCGCACGCACACACTTTTCTTCAGGCTTCTGTCTGGTGACCTGGGAGGAGGAGGTTGGCATGAGGTGGAGGTGAATGGAAGGCAGAAGAGAATGGTGGCAGTGGAGGGCCGCTGGCTGGCGTACGGTAAGAGGTGAAAGGGCCAGAGGCTTGCTGGATTTTTCAAGAATGACTCAGAGAGACTCCGGAACTGGACAGAGTTGCTGCATTTAAGGTGGAGAAGACCATTCTCTTCGTCTGTATAGAAACAGCATTGCTCTGGTGCTTCCCGGGGCGTGGAGACAAATGAATCCCGACGCGGTTTTGGCAGTCCGATGAGGGCGTCTCCTGGATGCCGAGAAGAAAGGAGGCGGGGCGGGGACAGGTGCAGAAGAGGCAGCAGGGGCAGATGTGACAGAGCAGGTAACTAGCTGACAGACGAGCTCTGGGCACGTGAGCCACCCTCCAGGGACTCACAGAAGCAAGTGGGGGACAGTGTGAAGGGGCTAGGCCTGGGGGCGCTCAGGCAACTCTAACTGTCACTAAAAGTAAGTGTGACAAATCACAGACACAGGCTCAGGAGGTCCCCTGGGCACCTGGATCATATCACTATCATAAAGAAGAAAACACAGATTCAGAGACATTAAATACTTTTTTAAATATTCACAGAAAAGCAGAGGAATGGAGAGCAGCTGGGATTTGAGGTCGGCTCTTGCTAATACTGAGAGAGCTCAGGCGTGTGAGAACCAAGAACCTTTCGCTTTCATCACAAATCCACCTGCTCTTTTGTGGCAAGTTGAGCAGTGGTTTGCATGAGCGATTTTTTGCCTTGGCTCTTCCATCTTTTAACGACATTCTATGGTATTTAACCCTACTAACTTTACTGAAACAGAATCATCATTGTCTAATAAGGAAATATACATAGTTAAGCTTGACTGGTAAAAAGAAAATAATTCATTTACAAGGGCAAAGCATTTCATTTTTAAAAGTAGCTGGAGGAAATAAAGAGCTGTTACAGAAAAACCTAATAATGGTTGGTTATGTGAGCTAACTGTTGAGGTTTGTGGTTTGTTTTGCTTTTTAAGAGTAACACCGTGAAAGAATAATGTTAAGAATGGCAATACTCCCCAAATGGGTCTCTACAGATTCAAGACAATCGATCCTAAATTCACACAGAAATGCAAGGGACCCAAAATAGCCAAAACAATCTTGAAAAAGATCAAAGTTGGAAGACAGACTTCCCAATTTCAAGACTCACTCACGACAAATCTACACTAATCAAGACAGTGTGTACTGGCATAAGGACAGACATATGTTGAGAGTCCAGGAATAAATTCAGATAGGTAATTGATTTTCAACAAGGATGCCAAGACAGTCTAGGGGAAAGAATAGTCTTTTCAAAAAATGGTGTTGGGGTAACTGGATATCCACATGCAGAAGAATGGAGTAGGGCCTGTACTTCATACCATATGTCTTAAGTGTTAAGTCTTAGAAAAAAAAACAGGAATAAACCTTTGTGACCTTGGGTTAGACATGACACCAAAAGCACAAACAACACAAGAAAAAATAGATCAATCAAACTTCATTAAAATTAAAAACGTTGGGACTTCCCTGGTTGTGCAGTGTAAAAATCCGCCTGCCAATGCAGGGAACACGGGTTCGAGCCCTGGTCCGGGAAGATCCCACATGCCACGGAGCAACTAAGCCCGTGCACCACAACTACTGAGCCTGCGCGCCTAGAGCCCGTGATCCACAACAAGAGAAGCCACCACAGTGAGAAGCCCGCACACTGCAACGAAGAGCAGCCCCCTCTCACCACAGCTAGAGAAAGCCTGTGCACAGCAACGAGGACCCAATGCTGCCAAAAATAAATAAATAAAATAAATAAAAATAAATTTATATAAAAAAATTTTTTTAATAAAAACTTTTATGTTTCAAAGGATACCACCAAGAAAGTGAGAAGACAACCCACAGAGTGGGGAAAAATTATTTGCAAGTCTATATGATAAGGGTCTAGAATCTAGAATATATAAAGAACTCTTACAAATCAATACTAAAAAGACAATCAAATTTTTAAATGGGCAAAGGATTTGAATATACATTTCTTTAAAGAGGATATACAAATGGCAAATAAACACATGAAGAGATGTTGCACAAGGCCGGAATACGCAAATCCATAGAGACAGAAAAGTAAATTCGTTGTTGCCAGGGGCTAGGGGGAGGGGACAATGGGACAGTGTCTGCTAATGTGTGTGGGTTTCTTTCAGAGTGATGAAAATGTTCTGGAGTTAGGTAGTTGTGATGGTTGCACAACTTTGTGACCATATTAAAACAATTGAATTGTACACTTTAAAAGAGTGAATTTTGTGGTGTGTTAAATATAGCTCAAATTCTAAAAAATGCTTGGGTGTGGGTAAAAATAAATAAATAAGAAAAACGCTCAAGAAGTATGGCCTGGCAGTGCAGACATCAGCTCATGAGGCATGAGCCCAGACTCTCCCAAGCAAAGGGGCTGGCCTGGCCGGACCCTCAAAGAGACAGAATTGGACGGAGGAACCCTCACTGCCCCTCACACGCAGGCAGAGAGCACCTCTCCCCAGAGCTGGTGCAGAAAAGAATTTCCCTCCACTCTCCTTCAAGAATCTCAGCCACCCTCCCCAGGACCTCTTGTAGCCTGCATCACGCAGGTGACCACCCCATACCGTTACCTTCCAGAAACCAGGTTGTGTCCAGTGCATTCGATGGTTTCCGCATATTACCCAGGTCTGAAACCTGAATGGCCTTTAAGAATTCAGACTGCAAAGGAAGCAATCCAGTGCTTACAAGTATGATCATTGTAGCATTTTTTATAACACTGAAAATCTGGAAACAACTAGCTATCCAACAATGAGGAATGGGTTAGAAAAATCGTGGTACATCCTTACCCTGGAGTATTATGGAACTCCCAAAAGTAACGTCTAATAAATAATTTTTAGTGACATGGGGAAACACCTATGATACTGGCAAGCAAAAAAAATGCAAGAGACAAAATCGTACGGGTATTATGTCCTCAGCTATGATAAAAATATACTTAAGAAATATGCCATGCTATTATTAATGACCCTCTTTAGTGGGCGGGTATTTTCATTCTACATTTTCTTTTCAAATTGTCCACAGTAAGTATGTAATACTTTTGTTATTTAAAAAATCATTTGAGGTGAAATCCAGGTGGCAAGATAGAAGAATAGAATTTTGACACAGCCTTGGATGAGCCACAGAGGATAAGCAGGAAGGCGTGGTTGATCTCACAGCTTCTCTGCAGCATCCACTGGGCAGAAGCAAAAGGGGGAGGCGTGCCATCACCTTGGACATCAGCCGGGCCCACGACAGGGCGTAAGGCGGTGGCTTGTGGTTCCAGGACCCCTTCTGCTGGGGGAGCCTGGCCTAGTGTTGACCCAGGATCTAGTGTCATTAGCTCTGAGACTAGGCTGACTAATAAATTCGACGATTAGGGCTTTTAGAGTTTCTCTGGTGATTTCCAATAAATTATTTCTTTTGGTTCTATAACAGCTGAGATCAGGACCATCATTACCCCCTGGTACTGACAAAGAAGATGAATCTGTATTAGTAAAGGAAACACTGGACGCAGTAACAGATAAACCCATAACTTTCAGGGGCTCAGCACAACAAAAGTTGATTCCCTGCTCACAGAGCAGTCACGTCCACAGACCACTTCTGGCGTGGTGGCCTTTCACGTAGCATTTCGGGACCCAGGCCCTTCCCTCTGTGGCCCTGTCCTCTTCTAAGTGCTCAGAGCTTTCTCCCTGCCGGCAGGTAGGGAACGAGGGAGTGGGAGCCTGTTGCCAGCCTGGACGTGGCATGGCACATGGCGTGCGTGCCTTCCAGGTACATCCATTGGCCGGAACCCATCCCAGGGCCACTGCTACCTTCTCCTTTGTGCCCAGGGGAAAGGAAATGACTTGAGGAAGACCTAGAATCTCTGCCAGAGGTGCGACAGCAAACGGGCATTGGTTGGAGGTCAGGCACTGATCAGAGGCAGAGCCGACATTCAAGCCAGGCAGAGTCTGGTCCTGTCCAGCCTTGGTCCTGCCCTCCTCCCTCCAAGGCTTCCAAGGCCTCCCCTCGGGAACGTTCTCTGGTCTCCTGCTACCAGCATCCCTCTAGGGCATTGATGCTGGAATGATCATCGGAAAGGGTGAGAAAATCTGATGAAAACATTTATGTGAAATAAGTTGTGAGCCTTTCCAGACCCATAGATAATCCCTGTACTGTGTGTTTCTTCCAGGTTTGTGTTTCTGTGATTAACTTCTGTAAGTCCCCACTAAACGTTACAAGGGGGGCAGACACCCATTTGAAGGCAGTGATTGACAACCATGCCGTCCTTTATAGGTTTGTTTTTGCAAGAGCAGGACTTCAAAGGCTCTTCCCTGCCTCTTAGGGCCTCTGCCACCCAGAGGGATCGACTGCCAGGGGTGCAGTGGGGGGGGGGGTCCTTGGTTCCACCTCCTCCCCTGATGGTAACTTTCCCCAGGAAGGTCTTTACTAAACAGGTTGAGCAGCAACGTGAACTTGGTTAACTGCTCATCGTCATTAAACAAAGCGTCTATAATTTACACATGCTTTAAAGAAATGCAGATACCTGGATCCACTTATTAATTCACAAACATTTACTAAAAGAAATGAGAAGGGATCTCATTAACATCATCTCGACACTTCAACCACATTTTCTTATCTAACTGTCACATGAACTCTGCTGGGATGGGTCCTCCTATCCCGCGTTACGTAGCTGGAAACTGGTACACTGGGTAGCGAGTGAGGGGACCAGGGTTCATCTCGGCAACCTTTTCCTCCTGGCTTTTAACCTCCCTGAACCCCTTTCCTTGTCTGTACAGTGAGGAAGGAGTAAAAATTAGTAAATTAATAACACTAATTCGTACTTTTCAGAATTGGGGAGGATTGAATGGGATCATAAATCCATAGCATCCGAGAGATAATTATGATGACTGTTTCTTACTTACAGATAAGGAAATGTAGACACAGACAGTATCTTTTCAAAGCCAGACAGCCAGGAGTGGTAAGGCTGGGTGAGCCCAGGAGCCTCTGGGTCGAATTCCTGAATCTTCCTCTTCCTCTTGCTGCCTTTATTTTCCAGGAGACGTGAGGAAACAGGCACAGACGCCTTTGCTAGACCAGCCCATAGTTCACAGGCAAGAGTTCTTTCCATTTAATCCATCAAACGTCTCAGTCACTGTCAAGTCAAACTCTGCTACTTTTTAAATCGTTCTTTACTCCAGCTTCTTGAATTAAAAGCATAGGTCATTTATCTCCACTCTTTCTTGCCCAGGATACATACTCAGCTGGGCATTATGGAAGTTCTGGGGCCATCTCCTTAAAGTTTATCACCATCTCCACCCACCTCATGACCAGGGCTGCAGGACAGCACTGTGAAGAGACAGAGACCTACCACCTGGAGTCACGAGACCCGAGGACCCATCCCACCACACACTGGCTGTCGCATCCACGCGGTTTCTCCTCTCTGAGTCTCGGGTTCCTCAACTGTAAACTGGAGACACCTCTTACCTCACAAGCCCGTGGGATCAGATGAAGTAAAGCCCGTTGCAAATTGTAACGTTCTGTGGGATTGTTTTTACTGCCCAAACCACCGTCCATCACCAGACAGTTCTTCAAATCGGAGACAGATTTCTTTCCCCTGGCAAGAATAGTGACTAATATATTCCAGGATGCTTTGCATGCTCCTGGCCTTAAAATAAAACTGCACCCAAACAAGAATGCAGACTCAGCCCTTCATTCTCTGGCTCTCACCAAGCCTGTCCTCTGGGCCAGGCTCTGAGCCCCGTGCTCTGCGGAAGGCAAGGATGGGTGAGGGTTAGTCTCCACCCTCGACCCCTTCACCGTCCAGTGCAAGAGGCCAGACGTTTATGTAAAGTGGCTCATACTTTAAGAGAGGAACAAAAAAAAGTGTTAGAAAAGTTAAAAGGAGCAGGAGTTACGTTCAGTTGAATGAAATCAGGAAAAGCTTTTTGGAGGAGAAAGTATTTGAGTTGCGTCTTAGAAGCTGGCTTATCTTCAGGCAGGTAAAGGGAACCACGTGGGCAGGGGCTTGGAGGCAGGAAACAGCAGGCTCTGTAGGGAAACAGGTGGAGTATTTTGACTCGACTGAATCAAAGGTCCGTAAGGAAGAAGATGGGAAACAGGGACAGATGTGAGGGAACTTGAAAGTCAGACCGATGGCTGTTTTCTAGGAAGTAGGAAATGGACCCGGCAGGGGTTCACAGACCTGGAGCGGGCGGACACCAAAGGCAGGCAGAACTTTTCAGAGGTCGTTGCAATGGTCCAAACGTGAGGACAGCGGCGCCAGGAACGGAGAGACCCTGCAGGTATAGAATCCGCAAGCCTTGTCCGAATAGCATAAAAGGTCTGGGACTCTACAAACTGGTAAGCAAGTCAGAGTTTGTTTCAATGTTTCAAAGACTCCACAAATTCATCTGTTTGACAAATCTGGGTGACGTGTGCTGGGGGCTGAGGATACAGCCAGGAGCAAGACAGATAGGACGCCCTGTCCCACGGGGGGAAGGAGGTGGACCCTAAACAATTAACATCATCTGGAGATGAGGGACCGAGGAACAGGGTGATACAACAGTGTCCTGATGGCAGGACTGGGGGGTAGAATTGCTGCTCAGGTAGGGAGGTGACATTGGGCTGAACTTTGAGCATAAGACCCAGGGAAAAGTTGGGAGAAGAGCCACCTACACAGCTTCGAATCCAAATAACCATTTAGGGGGTTACCCTTTGTCATCGAGACACCAAGGTTCCGCTGTGGCCCCCAAACAAGGGACGGTCTCTTATTTTCTATCCTGTAGAGTCGATGCTTCACTTGTCTCTTGCATGTAGTACACTTTCAACCTCTAATAATGTCTTTTTTCTCCCACAGTGGGTATGGGCCAATTTCCCATCTCTTCTTCCAGACAGCTGACCTTTGGGTGCCCAAATGGTTTTTTATTAAGTTTCTAAAAGACCATCTTCATAGATAACATTTAGCACCACACAGAAGTGTCCCAGAAGCTCCTATACATTGGATAATCAAGACTCGTCCACTGATATACGATAGAACCAATTTAATAGACCACTAGGCAGTTTTCACAAAAAGAGGCTAATGTTTTAGTCCGAAGGGTGAGTCAACCCATCTGGTCTGACAAAATGCTGTTTCTGGCTTGATTCCTTGTCTGAGACCATTTGCCAAAACCTTTTTCATGAATCAATACTTAAGATAATCTAAGCGGTTCCCCGTAGATTCAATAGTGCATTGGTTCCAGGCATAAGACATCAATTTGATTTGGTTATAAAATTTAACATTCTATAACTCACAGAGCATCTAACTCATGTACCATCTGACTTTGGAAGAAAGACCTATGGAAGAATGCAGGGGCTTTCAGGCTGAACATTTCTCATCTTCCTCCTGATCTCACTCCAGACCGTTCCATTCACGCTAAGAGGTAATCATCTATTAAGAGTATTGCCCCTCATTTCAAAAGTGATTAAGTTCATTCCACCTAGTTTACTCTGTGACGGGTCCATGAATTCTCTCCTCCTCTTGCCCTAAGAGTCTCAACGCACATCAGATATTCCCTGCTCCACAGTCAAGGGCTGTGAGGGAACATACCCAGTATGCTCTAGCCTGGTTAATCTTCCTAAACCTCCATGTTAGCTCCCGTAACCTGGAAAAAGTTTACAGAACACCTTCTCTTATGTTATCTCGCTTTGTTCTCATGCAGATGAAGCCGCTTACGCCCAGGAAGGTGACCTGTCCAAGACCCAGCATCCCTGGTCTACAGTGTGCATCCCACCCGCCACAAACCTCCACCTGGTCTCTCTGCTTAGCTGTCCAGCCTCTTCCCTTCTCCTGTCTCAGCCATCAGTTCCAGTGGAGCTGGGGTTTCTTGTGTTCTCTGAGCCTGTCATGACCCAGAGGGCATTAACTGGCCTCCTTGGATCAACCCCACGAGTTGTGAGTGGGCTTCGGGGAGAACGAGCGCCCTGCGAGGATGTGTGTGGAATTTGTATGATGTGCTTATGTGAATCTGTCTGGGTAAGAGTCCAAAGTCTTCATCAGCTCCTGAAAGAATTCAATGGTGATCCCCCTCCAAAAAGAATGGTTAAAACTAATTTTATACACCGGTTTCCTTCCCCCAAGCATCCTCTCTGCTCCTCCTAACCTCCGATGTAATGCTCCGCTTTGTCATTTCCCTTCAGAACTTAAAACCAAGTACTGACACTGGGACTTCGCAGACTTCCCTCCTCACTATAGTTTAATTGTTCTCTTCTTTCCAAGTTTTAATTCAAAGGGGGAGAAGCCCGAGTATTCCTAGGGTGGCCTTTACAGATGCAACTAATATGTGATAACGTATTCCAACTGATAGCACAATAGTCTGTAAACCTTAATCATTCCCTTCAGGGTTGATTCAAATCCTGCCATTGGTACAGTGCCTCCTAACAGATAAAGGGCTGAGGAGATATATTTAGCTACATTGTTACAGATATGGTCTCAACTATGAAAAGAAAATCAGACTGTTGTCTGTAAGGATTGCATAATGATATTCCGGATGAAAAAAATAAAATCAGTAAAGTTTCAACCACTCCCCAGACACCAAAACAGGCCAGCCCCACTGCTTATGGGGACTTGTGAGTATCTGAAGCTTTGTAAGAACAGATCTGGTTTGGGCAGCTCAAGGCGAGGGACCGGGAGGCAGTGGAACGTGGGAGGGGCTCTAGCAGAGGATGGTGGCGAGTTCTGGCTGTTGGTTCTCGGCATCAGCCTTGACCCCCTCCTGACCTCCCAGCCTCCACACACATTCTCTGACATTTTCTCACTCTGTTTGCCCGAAAGCTCTTCTGCTCCCCTGCACTAGTCCCTCTTCTGAACAGGGGTGTAGAGAAAAAGGAACCCTTGTGCACTGTTGCTGGGGATGTGAATTAGTAGTCACTATGGAAGACAGCATGCAGGGTCCGCAAGAAACTGAAAATAGAACCATCCAGCAATTCCGCTTCTGGGTATATATCCAAAGGAAATGAAATCAATATCTTGAAGAGCTGTCTGTGTTCCCATGTTTATTGCAGCGTTGTTCGCAGGATCAAAGATAATAGAAACAACTGTCCATCAATGGATGAATGGATAAAGAAAATGTGTGTGTGTACACACACACACACACACACACACAAAATGGAATATTATTTAGCCAAAAAAAGAAGAAAATCCTGCCGTTTGTGACAACATGGGTAAACCTGGAGGACATTTTGCTAAGTGAAATAACCCAGACACAGAAAGACAAATGCTGTAACATCTCATTTAAATGTGGGATCAAGAAAAAAGTTGAACTCATAAAACCAGAGTAGAATGGTGGTTACCAGGAGCTGGGGGTGGGGGAAAGAAAGAAAGAAAGAGAGAGAGAGACACAGAGAGAAAGAAAGGGAGAGAGAGCGAGAGAGAGAGAGGGAGGGAGGGAGGAAGGAAGGAAGGAAGTCACTAACCACTATCGATCACAGCTTCATTACTTCAAAGTTTTCTTCATATGGGCCCCACTGTGGCTTTCTGTGGCAAAAACCTTTGCAAACAGTTTCCTGCCAGTCTTGGGACTTTGTTTAGCTAGGAAGGTCCCCTGACTTATTCCAAATACAGGGCATCGTGTCGCCCTCGTGGAATTCCCCGCCATCTCTCTGACAACCAAGTGTTCTTGAAACTTCTTATTTTATGTGCTGATAAAAAAAAGGGAAACACAACCCCACCATCTACACTGATATGTGCCATCTGGAAATCCAGTGATTTCCATGTTAAGATTATTCTTCCTAATCAGAAGGAAGTCATTTCCCTCACTTTTAACCTGGGCAATTTGCCCTGGGAAGCTGTCATTTAAATGGATTCTACTATTTGAATCATCAGTAATTTGTGACTAACCCTGCTTTAGCAAGAAAGCTTTCAATAACAATGTGGGATTCTCCATCCATAACGCTTTATAATACGTTTAAAATGAACATAACAGCTTAAAACGCGGAAGACGTTTAGCCCCAGCCCAGATTCAAGCTGGCACCGCGGGGAGGAGGGAGCAGCCTTTTCAGGCACTAACTGGGCCATCGTGGCTGGTGGGCTGGTGCGAGCCGGTGCAACGACACAGTTTCAGGGTGTGTCCCAAGCCCTTCATTACGGCCGCCTTGGCCTATACGACCTCTGCCATCTCTCAGCTTGTGGCTACTCCAATCTCTGAACAGGCTGGGGCTGGACGCAGGCGGCCATGTTTCTGACTTGGCCAAGATGCTTAAAATGAGCCCTGATGCAGTTAGAATGGGAGGTTGCGACAGTCACTATGATGGTTAATTCTATGTATCCACTCAACTAGGTGAAGGGATGCCCAGAGAGTGGGTAAACAGTATTTCTGGGTGTTTCTGGAAGAGATGAGCATTGGATTCAGTGGACTGAGTGGGTGGGCCACCATCAAGTCCACTGGGGGCCCAAATGGACCAGAAAGGCAAAGGAGGGGTGATTTCACGCTCTTCTGTGCTGGGACATCCGTCTTCTGCTGCCTGTGGACATCGGAGCTCCTGGGCCTTGGGTCATTGTCGGGACCTACACCAGCAGCTGCCTGGTGCTCAGGCCTCTGACCCGGGCCTGGGGGTCACACCTTCAGCTCTCAGACCTTCGGACTCGACTGAGTTACACCACGAGCTTTCCTTCTCCAGCTGGCAGACCGCAGACCAGGGGACTTCTCAGCCACCGTAGCTACGTGAGCCAATTCCTACAATAAATCTCCCTCTTTCCCTCTCCCGCTCTCTCTCGCTACACATGTCTCCTATTTGCTCTGTTTTCTGTTTCTCTGGAAAATCCAGACTAATACAGTCACTATGAGGAACGATTGCTAGAGGAGCGTTTGACAATGAGAATCCGGGCTTTGTCACAAGAGGAGGTTGCTGTCCCAACGGGCCTGTCCCCACTGTTCTCAGCCAGGGGCCCCTGACAACGGCCAGGACAGAAGGGCAGCTTTGAGGCCGTCTCTGCAGCTCCGTGCGGTGACACTGTCATTTGTTTGGCCGAGAAAATACAACCTGCTACATCGCCCCCAAACCGATGTACTCCTCAGAGGCACTAACCACTCCATTCTCCCCAGCCCCGCCTTCTGGATTTAAGAGCCTCACAGGCCAGTTTGTAGCTTATATTTCAGTGGGAGCTCAGCTCAGTCCCAACACGGCAGAAGATGCCATGAGAAGAGACACTGAAATTCACATGTGTATCTAAAGCTTGCGGCTGGACGGTTACACGCATCTCACTAACAATCACGTGGCTTATAAATCACTAGCCACAGGAGGCGGTGGGATTTTGAGATGGGAAAATGAATTAAGTCCCCGCTGCACCTTGTGGCACGTGTATCTGACAGTCCAAGATGGAAGCGTGAAGGCGCAGTCCGGGGGGGCGGGGCTTCTCCGCTTCAGCAGAAGGAGGGCGTGGCTACCAAACAGGAGGCTGCAATCAGTCAACCAACTGCTCTTTACTGAGATCCGCTTTGTACAAGGCAG